GACGTGACATGTTCGTACGAACCCTTTGTACGAACAAAAGTAAGAGAAATTTAGGATAAGAATACAAACATGTTTTTGCATGAGGCCCAATGTGCTCCGTACAATGACAAAGACATCATCAATCAAGTAGCGTTTGGGAACTGAGGACATTATTTCTTAAAGTTTTGCAGCTGGAATTCTTTTCCACTCTTGCTTGATGTTCAACTTTAGTTGCTCAACAGTATTGCTGAAAGAACAAGGACGTTCTTGAGAAATATGTGGCTTGGATGGCAGCATATATTGTTCCAAAACCTGCATAAAATGCTGGCTTTTAAATTTTGCGCTGTTCCCTTTATACCCAATCATGACACTCATCTGTTTCCAATGAACCTGTTCACCTATGGAATGCTCCAAACAGGAGTTTTGGATAATTTCTCAACTTACCCAGTCTTTTGTTGCACCTGTCCCAACATGTTACAGGCATCAAACTCAAAATGAGTGAATATTTGCAAAAAACAGTAGTTTATCTATTTGAACATTAAATATCTTGTATTTGTTGTGTATTCTATTGTACATAAGTTGAAAATGATTTGCAAACTATTGTATTCTGATTTTACTGATGTTTTATACAACTTCTCAACTTCATTGGAATTGGGGTAGTAAATTAGATGCTGTGCTGACTTTTGTAAATTATAAATTTTTCAAAATAATTTCCTTTATTTTTTTATACACCATAGTTGTGCATACAACAATTGGATGCATCATTGGTGTTAAAATGGGTTTATTTTAGAAATGCAATGAGATCTCTTTAATTCCTTCAATTGCTCTTTGAAATCTGATAACGAACTAATATGGAATAATTTGGGGAGTGATGTTAAAAATGTAAGGATCATGTATGTTTAAAAATGATAAAAGTTGGGCTGTTAAAGAAATATGAAACAGTATAATGTGTATCTATATAAATTGTTGTTCTAGAGAGAGTTTTTTTTTGTTAATATAGATTTTTGTTATGTGAACTTATTCTTGGGGGAAAAGGGGCAGATTCTCTCTACTGCCTTTCATTTTATTTGTGATTTTTTTTCTCATTTCTTTTTATATTTTCTTCTTATTGTATATAAATTAGTTTTGCTTTATTGAAATGAATAAAGGAATTGAATGAATGCCAAATCCACTTTAGATTTGTTTTTGCCTTTTGCTACATTTAGCTGACATTCTGCCACTTTTAACTTCAGTTTTTAACTTTTAGCTACTGCTTACAAATGTTTGTTTTTCACTGTTTTGCTTAGCTTACATTTCATTGTTTATCTTTAACAATTATGTTTTAGCCTCTTCAAGACATTACTATTATTCATTCATTCTATTTTAAGAAAAAGCTTTTTTTTTCTTCCCTATTCGTTTAGTTCCAAAACATTAAGCACATTTATCCATTGGAAACACTGTTCACTTCTCCTGTTGCTTTTATTTTATGTAAATTCTCTGTCAGGGACAAAGCAGCCATTTGCCTCCATCTGCTGGTTAAAATTTAAACATTCTCAGAGCCCTAGAACCAGGTCAAAGATGAAAGTTTCTTAGAAAGTTTCTTGCGATCTAAGATGAAAATATATTCAGTTATAGTAGCCATGATGGAAGCAGCTGAAAATTTCTAAATGCAAAGGAGATTTGAAACCATCAGGGCCGATTAGAGTTTAAAAGGTCTGAAGTTTTAGCCGTGTATATATAT